ATTGTGTCACAGCGAGGACGCAATCGACCAGATAGAAGTCAAAACACTACGCAGCCAGACGAGCATCGTGAGTCTTCGAGATAGCAAGACTGTGGAGTGTGCAGTGGGTGACGGACTGAAGTGGGGGAAATATCAATGATATTTGCTTTTTGAATTGAGCTACTAACTCATGTTAAATGCTAAACTTGTACTACTAGTAGTAGTAGTAGTAGTATTAAAACTGTACGTGTCTGTTTAAATTCGAATACCGAGGTACGTAGTGATACTAGGTTTTATAAGCTGACTACTTCGAAGTATCATTTCAAAGTTACGCTTAGTCACTCCATCTGCGGGAGATTATGCGCTTGTCGTTCAACAAGTTGCAATACAGTGAGTCCCGCAACATGTTCGAGTGGTGATGTGACGTCGTCCTTCATGGCAATTCGCAGGTATTTAATGATCATCTGATGCGTAGGTTGAACACTCGCTAGCTTGAGACTCGCCATTTCGGTGAGTTGCAGTGGATTCATTCGTCGATTGTCCATGATGGTCATTGAGGCGCCAGCACAGACCAATAGTCTTGTGCTCTTGATATGACCATAAAAAGCTGTGTAGTGTAGCGCCGTAAGCCCGTCCAGTGAGTCCTGTTGATCAATCGATGCTCCATTCCGCAAGAGAAGAGATAATACCTCGTCTGATCCTGACAGCGCTGCCCAGTGAAGAGCTGTTCGCCCAAGATTGTCCACTTCGTCCACGATTTGCTCATTTCTCAAACACAATTGCGCCGTCTTTGCATCGCCCGACCGCGCAGCCTCAAGAAAAAGTGCGAAACGACCAAGAAAGTTGTTGCTCTGTTGTTTCTGCCCTGTAGTAACAGCGATTTTACTCTGTTGAGTTTTAGTGTTCAAGTATTGATGAGCTGCCTGAGCATTTTGCGTTTCGAGCGAAACTTGAGTGCAATACGCGAGTACCACAGTGGATATGCCAACGACAATGTAAATAATCAGTGGGACGGCAGCTAGGATCAAGAAAACTCGTCTGGTACTTGTCGCCGTACTGGAGGGAAGACTTAAAAATAGTAGTAAAAATACCACACACGGAAAACCCACACAGATTCCACGAAGACAGCGACTTCGTAGACAGCATAATAAACGCGAAAAAGTTGGTGAAGGAACATCGCTTCCTATCCCTTGCTTCTCGCGAAATACTGCGTTCTCCAAGTCGTCATTCTGGTCGCCTACTGTTGGAATAGAAGAAGCCATAGCATCAATTTGGTTGATCGGTGCAGTGTTGTCAGGTATTTATAAACGTCAAGACCTTTTAAAAATAGTGAATGCTCATCAAGAAAAAAAGAGCACGTACTGTGGCAAGCGAAAATGCAAGGACCTCCGTTAGCATCGGAATCTATAGGATGTACCCCATCAACGAGGACATCTCCCGATGGAACTGTGAGATCTGCCCGTGGGTCTTCGGCTAGTTCACATCGCAGACTTCGACAGGAATTGTCCTATCCAGCCACCGCACAATGGGCGTTCCTGACCTCGACTATTAATAACACACAGCAGACCAATCAACAACGACCTTTAAGGCCTTCTACCGCTCGAGTATCTGCTCCATCGGAGGGCATCAAACTACCCAAACGACCTGCTACCAGTCGAACCTCGAAGACTCAAATCCGTCATCATGAACATGAGGAACATTTTACGACGAGAAGTGACACTATAGCGATACAAGAGGCCATTCGACGCGAACGAAACCAGGAACAGTATGTGAACCCGCTTATTGGTCGAAGTGTGGAGTCTCGAGGGCAACTTGGTCGGGATGGTAAGCCCAATCGTGATGGAGTAGAAACGAGAACTATGGAGTTATTGTCCCGAGCTCGTGTCGTCTCCACAGCCGCGATGAATGCTACAGAACGTCTGTGCTCGAGAGCTTTCCAGGCACGAGCAAATGGAGATTATGACCGAGCTATCAAGTTTTACACGAGTTTATCGACTGCAAAACCGAGCGAAATTGAGGCGAAATTCCAGCTCGCGGTGTGTTTAGAACGAACAGGACAAATCGGACCCGCGTTAGCAGCTTACCAGCAAGTTCAGAGACTTTCCGGTGGACAACATGCCTTTGCCGTACTATAATATGGGCAATTTGTGTATGCGTGTCGA